CGTGACGCAGTGGTAAGAGCGTCTGCGGAGTAAGGAGTTGATCCTTACGTCGCCGGTTCGAATCCAACTGTGGGACGTGGAGACCGGTCCTTCGGATGAGACCGTATAAACCGAGGTCCCGTGTCACACGAAAATGATCCCTCACTGCCAAATATCCCTGAGTGCCGAGTAAGGGTGAAAATTTTGCAGCTCTCCATCGGCAATAGTGGCGTCTCAATATGAGTGAAAAAAATCTCAAGAGGGACGTTAAACAACAAACAAACAAACAAAGTATTTTAAGGTTCATCGATACTCTGATAGGAGAGATAACTCTTAATGGCATAAATGTCTATAATTCCTTTATTAATTTGTCAAGTTGAAGTGTCTTTTTTGTCCAATTTTGCCCCGCATGCTATGCTATAATCGTTTGTATATGAGTGAGCAGACGGTTTATGAACCTTAACAAACCTTAAAATTCTTTTATTTCTTCCAAGAATTTGTCATTGAGCTATGCTACTGAAACAAGTTTCCTCACAAAAAAAAATAAGGTACCTTACCAAGGCATTTGTGCAAGTTACCAGAGGATGCTATTCACTACATAATCCTATTGGAAATCACTAACATTGCCAATATCACAATTTTTGTGGCTTTATCTATTTAGACATTTTGAAAAGAATCTAAAAATCACAAGACAATGATAATTATGATTAACTTGTCGATATTACGAAGAGATACAAAACAGATATTTGTCAATGAGCAACGTGTCATCAGACCTTAAAAAGAAAGTACATGTATAATAATCGTATTCAATTTCAAGATAGTTTAAGTGCATTAAATACATGTAATGGCATTATTGATCTGAACTTCATCATGTTTCATTGATTGAAAAGCTCGTTTTGATACATGTAGACTACAAAAGGGGTCTCAAGCTAGTTTAGTGACGTTTATACAAGTGCATTTTTTAAGAAATGAAGGAGAAAATATTCAATTATGTAAATATTCTTAATTTCCGTCTCACAATTAAGCCTGCTCGAAATTAACCCCTCGTTGTCATCAATATGAAACACACTTGAGACTCTAAAAGATGCGCCACGGCATCTTGTTTTTATATCAACTAGCACTTTAATTAATTGTCTTTTAGTTCCTTGATTATTGTCAATGTGCTTGTGGAAAGTCTTTTTAATAATTTAAAATAGTCTTCATCGTTTTTTAGCTCAACTGGTCAGAGACCAGAAGAGCTTATGTGAAAATAATGTATCCTTCGTCCGTCCGTCTGGCTGTCTGTCTGAAAACAATTTTTCAAAATGCTACTCCTACAGTTTTGGTCTGAATTCAATATAACTTGGCACACAAGTAGACTACACATAATTCTGTATATAGGTTTTTGATTTCAATGGAAAGTGTTGCCATAGTTTCTAAAAATAGAAATTTCTGTAAAATACTTTCAAAATGCTACTCCTCCTACAGTTTTTGTTTGATTTTAAAATAACTTGGCACATAAGTAGACTTTACTAAGATATCAGTTTTTGGTTTCCTTGAACGGTGTTGCCATGGTTACTAAAAAAATGTAAATTTCTATGAAATAATTTCAAAACGCCACTCGTCCTACAGTTTTTGTCTGATTTCAAAATAACATGGCAGACTAGTAAACATCACTAAGATTCATAATTCTGTATATCGGTGTTTGATTTCCTTGAACGGTTTTGCCATGGTTTCTAAAAAATGAAAATTTCTGTGAAATACTTTCAAAACGCTAGTCCTCCTACAGTTTTTGTCGATTTCAAAATAACTTGGCACACAAGTAGACTACACTAAGATACATGTTTTCGTATACTGGTGTTTTGATTTCGATGTTGGTGTTGCCATGATTACTAAAAATAGAAATTTCTGTGAAATACTTTCAAAATGCTACTCCTCCTACAGCTTGGTTTAATTTAAATAATGTGGCATGGAAGTAGACTACACTGAGAGACATTATTGTCTTTATCGATTTTTGATTTTGATGAATGATGTTGCCATGTTAACTAAAATCGAAATCCCTGTAAAATTCTTTTAAAATGCTACTCCTCCTACAGTTTTTGGTCTGAATTCAAAATAACTTGGCACACAAGTCGAATACTAAGATACATAATTCTGTGTTTTGGTGTTTTGATTTCGATGAACGGTGTTACAATGGCTACTGTAAATAGAGATTTCTTTGAAATACTTTTATGCTAAAGTGGCATGCGAGTAGACTACACTGAGATACATAATTGTCCTTATCGTTTTTGCATTTTGATAAATGATGTCGCCATGGAATCTGAAATCAAAATTTCTGTAAAATTCTTTTAAAAGGCTACTCCTCCTACAATTTTAGTCTGATTACAATCTTGCTACAGAAAAAGACTTAATTAAGGATCATTATGCTGTTGCAAAGTTTCAAGTCCAACTTCTAATTTCTCTTCCTTTGTTATAAGTACAATCCAATAAAATTACAGTCTTGACAGAGACTTCTGGTTCAGTATATTAATATTATCAAAATTATATTCAAACCGAAAATTGGAAATATACAATAGATTTCAGGTCATGATGAAATTTTGCTTTGGCCGAGATGTTTTATATATGGGCCGACCTGTCTCAAATCTTGGTCCGGCCTGTCAGGGCCGACGTGTCATTGGGCCTAAATGTCAATTGGCCGAGGTGTCTGACATTCGGGAACAATTCATAATTTTTGTATTCCCTTACCCATTGATGGTATATGCTAAATTTTGTTGAAATTAGCTTAGTGGTTAAAAATACATGAAATAAGAAGCTGAAAAATTTACAAAAGTTACAACTGACGAATGACGACGACGGACGAAAACAGAAAGCAAGAGGTCGCCTGAGAGGCTCGGGTGACCTTTTTATCAAAAGACATGAAAATTCCTTCTCTTAACAATAAAGAGAACCAAAAGTTAATCACTGTGTGGAGGTGATGAACATATAGTGGTAATGGAAGCAGGTTTTAACTTTAATCTCTGCTAACAAAGTTAAAAGAAGTGTGTAATTTAAGATGTTTAATAAAGTTAACGAAAAGATGTTCCTAGAATTACAAAAAATTAATTCTGCCAAAGACTACGATTTTTTGGAGAGGGCGCAGGGGGGGGGGGGGGGGGGGCAGGGAGGGATCTGCTTTCAACATGTGTTTAAGGTGGGTGGGGGTGGGGTATGTACCTAGCATAAAGGAAGATTCTTTTAGTTTTGCAAAAGAATCCAGTGAAAACAGAAACGGTATTTTTTAAAAATTTTATTTAGGGATGACAATTTAATACAGAATTGCCAATTTGTTAATTGCAAGTTGAATTAATAGACGTATTAAATATACCTTTTTTCACGAATTTTTCAAGTAGGCTTTTCATATATGATAAAGAGGCAAATGGGCTACAATGCTCACCTGAGTCATGTGGTCCCTCTTGTCCATCACCAGATTCCTTTTAATCTATATTCTCATGTAAACATTTAAAACTTGAATATACACTATCTGCTCTCTTTCATAAATATGACTAATCATGACTTTTCTATTCCTGGATAAAGATCTTAAAAGATCTCCCATAGTGCCCCCCCCCCCGCCCCCGGGGTCATGATTTGAAAAATTTTCAATTTACACAACGTGAGGATGCTTCCAAATACAGGGTTCTTCATTATTTTAAATTCAACTGTAGCGCAGGTCGTACTCGAATTTCTCATATTTGCGGTCTTTTTGTGACCAAATTCGCGGAGTAGAGTGTATAAACACTGAATAAATTGAAATAAACACACACTTTTTCTCAATCACTAGTTTAATGAACAAATGCTATTAAATGTTTGGCTAATTGAAAGATAAATTTGATGATAATTAAAAACAATCAATGATAACGAATTTAGGATGGTATAAAAGAAAAAAAGAGGAATTTTTACAATATTTGTGTTTTGTGACCCCCCTCCCCCAAAACATACACATCAACCTACTTATAAATAAAACAAATATACGCCAATAAAATCTGGAAAAATAGTACCAGTTACAACAAGTTTTAAATGTTTGACTTGATTTAAAAAAAAAAAATGTTTAGGAAATGTAGATTATACACCTACTGTGTAAGGACAGAGGAATTTCCGGTAGGTCACAAAATCAATCTTTTATCTATATCTACTGTATATTAATTATTGTAATAATTGGTCTTGGTTGGCTAAAGTTTTAAAAATCCATTGTTAATTTTTCAACATTACATCAATACACGATTATGATACACGTACGATGTTTGACTCGGTGCCAATGCACTTTTAGAGTCATGATTATCTGTTACAAAGCCAATTTGATTTTAAAATAAGCATAAAAAATCATTTACAATTATCGGGAGGTGTCAATAAAGGCTTGTCTCCTTTCACTCATGCGTAAAAATCCAGCGAGGCCTAGAAGGTGATTGATTGTACAAGCCAAACAATGGCCCTTATCATGCTAATTAGAATATAAAACGGTTTCGACTCAGGTGAGCAAATAATATATAACAATTTGAAAAAAAATATTTTACTAAAGTAATATTTTGTTTAGGTTTGCATGATCACAATATACATCATTTAATTTCAAGTAGCAAGAAAGTACAAAGAAAACTAGGAAACATGCCTGAGATATTACAGACACTACTTTTTTAGACAAAAAGTCAAAGAATTTTAAATTATTTTGCAGTGTCAACAAACCGAGTAATAGAAAAAAAATCCAACATCATAAGAATGAATTTAACTTGCACTCACTTCCAATATCGCTACAGTTTTTTCCCATATCAGGTACTTATTGCAGAACCTGAAACCTATTACCACCCTAAAAAAGCGTGCAACTTTTCTGCGCTTTTTGTTTCCTGCAAACCGTATAGTCACCTCAGTGACAAAGGTAACAAACAAATCTTTTGAGAAATGCTCTATTTCACCTTTTTTGGTAGAATCCTGCTCACTTACATGCAAATAACATTTCTTTTTTCTAGTGATAAATTACAAGATGACTATAGTACTGAAAATAAAGACTAACAAACCTGGATGTATAAGGGAGACACAAACTCTTTGGATAGGATGAAACCATCCATTTCTACATTGATGAATGTTATATGTCCTGTTGTTGACACAGTCAACATAATAAGGGGACCAAATCTGACCAGCAAAATAGTTTGGACCATTGGGAAGTCCAACACAGCTTGGCAACCGATCAGGACAGGGTGTACATGAACTGTTAGATGGACACCGATTTTGACTGTATTCACCTACGAGAAAAAAAATACTTTAATATTTTTTCATTGCATAGTTTTACTGTAACTATACTAAGTAGAGTCTACAATTTCTTATGAATAACATAGGCACACACACCACACCTTAAGAAAGAATATATATATATATATATATATATATATATATATATATATATATATATATATATATATATATATAAAATGATTATGACGTTAAACTAAATACTTCAATAATCTGGAAAAAGATTTTCCCGAACTTTTTCCAGATCATTCTAGTATTTTATCTATGACGTCACAATATAGACATTAAACATTCTGCTTAGTTTAACGTCATAATCATTGTTACTATGTTACCGTTGTGTATACATATTCGTAATGTAAAGCTTCTGAAGATTTTTAATGAAAGCGCAAAAGTTTTACGGAGGATTTTTGTGTTTTCTTTTGATATTTTTTTAATATTGTAAGATTTCAAGTAAGTTTCAAATTTTCTGGCACAATCGTTCATGAAAAGAAAATTTTTAAAAGATTACACCAAATTTTCACCAATTCTTAATTCTCACCCCTTGAAAGAGGGGATGAATTTTGGAGATATATATATAGGGGTATCATTTTTAAATAACTATCGGGATATAAATACACGTTGGTCACGTAATCTAAGTTTATTTGATTTGATCATATACTAACCTGTATTTATCTAAACAATGATTGTTTTCTTTCGTCGTTAGTATAGGAATTATAATGTTGGAACTGCTGCAGAAAAAATACAGCAGCAATAACGTTGGAAAAGCTGCAACGTTAAGAGCCATTCTCTGTAATGACTTGAATTTGTATATATAGTAGGAGCTGTGACACGCATAATCTCAGAATTTTTCCAAACTCTCTATGATAAGAGTCTTTGATACCATAAACTCAAATCAGGCAAAAATTGGTTGCTATGTGTTATGGTAACCACAGCAACATGTCCTAAATTTTGAAAAATGGCATTTTTCAACATGTTCAGAGTCCCACAGTTACCGTTTGCAGCAAAGCAAACAAGTGACAATGACTGTTTCTAAAAGTTGAAGGCATGATGTCTTAAATGCATGATGAACATGTTTGGTAAATCAACTATTACATACGTTACTATAGAAACAAAGTATTCAAAAGTAAAAATTTTGTTCATTTAATTTTAAAAAGTCATACACTTAAGAATAAAAACAATTATAGGTTGAAATGCAAGCAAATGATAGACAAAAGATCCCTGTAACATATACCAAGGACGAAATGTGATATTTCTTATAGGTTGGCAATGGTTGCCATGGTTTTAATACCACGAAGGCATTTTAAATTTACTCTCTAAGTGTTTTAGTCTTATCCTATCTTTTTAAAAAGCACATTTCTATATAACTGATGATCAATATTTAAAGGCGTGGGTGTGACCCTAATTTTCACATTTCAAAAAATTCAAATTCAATTCCTTAAATAGAGCGTTGCTATGGAAATGAGCCGAAAAAATATGCATAAAAATCTGAAAAATATTCTGTCTCCTTGGATACGTACCCTTGTATGTAGATTTCCAGAACTTTTTTTATTGATATTTATGAACAACAAACCTGACTTTCAATTTTGCCTATCACCCAATCTGTAACTGGATGCAAAAAGCTGGCACATAGGGTTTAATATTGATATAAAATTAACAAATCGAACATTTTCACTTCTTGGAAACCATAGCAACAGTGTTGTATTTTTCAACAAACTTTATCAATATTTGATATTCAGCTTTAGTTCTAACAGATAAGTACTATTTAAGGTGATTCAAATAATATGTTTCTTGATTAAAAGGTAAGTAAATTCCTAAGGCAGCAAAAAAAATATCACTTTAAACAACTGGTACGTTGTTCCCATGGTTACACTGCAAAGTAACAATTAATCCCAATTTTTCTTATGTTGTGGGTGTTGCAAGGTCCTAAGGATGTATATTTGCCAGTCATGAATTATATCGTTTTTCCTCAAGATAGGAGCATTAACCCAATCTTAACAACAGATTTTGCATGGTTACACTGTGTTACCATGGCAACCATGAAAGTTATTTTTAGAATAACATTGCCAATACCTAATTACTTAAGGTCAAATACTTTTATTGTTTTTCTTAGGTTGTTGATTGAGTTTGATCATGTAAAACCTATCATTAGTGAATTTTGAGCGTTTTTCAGCATTTTTCAGCATCTAAAATGTATTCCAAATGTACCCATGGTTACCACTTACTTAGAGATAAATTTTAAATAGTTTTTTATAGCATAAGTGGCAACAAGGTGTCATGTTTTTGTGAGAATGGTTTGTTTGTTTTTCTTAGTCTTTATTAAGGCTTAATAAAGATTTAAAGTAGCTGAAAATCTCAATTTTTCCAACTTTTCTGGCTGTTACCATGACAATCAAGACACATAGCAACAAATATTTATGTTATTTATGTTTCTGATGTCAAGTTGTAATAATGGGCAAAGTTTCATCAAAATCGGTGTCCATGCGTGGCAAAGAAATTTAAGTGGTTACAGAGAATCGCTATTAATTTCTACACTAACAAACAATAAAAGACATTTTATTGTTTATATTTATGCCTGTAGAGGCAATCATCTAAAGTAGGATTAATTACGTTAGGTATGTTTCTTTTGAAATGTATGTCATTGTACGTTTCATTCATGGAAGAGAAATCTATTCAGGTAGTATACTTAGCGGCATTAACTGATGGATAAGCGACCATGGTTTTCTTTAGAAATTAAGGACATTATATTCAGTGGATGCAAAAATATCAGGATAGATGTGTTAAAATGATACCTTACTTATATTTACATTTGTGACTGATTTATAATATTTTCGTGATAATAATATTATAATCTCTAACGCATAGAATGTTGCATTTTTCAAAACTCAACGGAATAAGTCTAATCCATTGAAAGCGTATTGACCCTTTTTTGACGTCACTGAGGAATTGTATTAAACGTTTATGACATGAGAAAACTGTGTTTACAGTGATATTTATGCGTTGCTTAAACAGTGTTACATAAGACAAAACATTTTCAATGTAAATACAATCTATAAAATAAAAGGTTAGCTGCCAATTTTTCCCCAAAATATGTAAGATATTTTATACACATTTACATTGACCAAAAACCTACATGGAGCTTTGGGTTCTGGCCTGTTTCCACAATGCACTAATCTGAAGTCAAGGCATGCCCCCTGCTGATTAGAGTAGAGTTTCGGGTACTTGCATTCTGACAGGGGAACAATCCCGTGCTTCATATTTGAACAGTTGTAGTATCTGGCACAACTATCATGGTCCTCAATATGCAAAGAAGGGTTTGCTTTACAGACTACACTGATCTGACCTACAGTAAGTCGAAGAGTAAAATGAGCAAGTTACTTAACACAAGAATGGTGCCTCATCCTTAACAAATCCCTGAAAAATATTTCACAATGAATGATAAGTATGTGTATATTTATATTCAGTGTAGTTTTCTTTAAGAAATTCATTGAAAATCTTCAACATTCAGTACCCTATAATACACACAAAACCTTGTAACTGCCCGGTAGAACGCACAGTAGAAACTATATGCATTTTCAATATATATATGAAGACCAAAATATTGTTTTGGTTCAATTAAATTAAAAACAATTACTTATTAAATCATTATAAAAAATGTAACAAGTTTTTCAAAATTAATTTGCCTTTTTTTCTCTCGGAATATTCATTTGTGTAATTTAACTTTCCACGTCACAATGACTCTTACATGTCATATGGAGAAAACGAAAAGTATTCACGCTCGAAGTCCATTTAAACAATACAAATCGGGAGCAGAGCAAACACGGACCTCTAAAACATCAGAGGTGGGATCAGGTGTCATGGAGGTATGAGCATTCCCCTGCCGACTAGTCAAACCCGCCGTGTGCTCCTTGTCATGATCAGGAAAAAACGGAAAAATCCGTAGACAATTCCGTGTGTAAATAATGGCGTAACAGTTAATATAAAAAAAAGTCAGTCAGCATTTGACGTAATGATACAGATTGTATTTGCTAACAAGGTCAATATATCAAACATAAAACAAGACTGTTGAAATCCTTGCTTCATCGACTTGTTTGTCAATAGCTTGCCTCATTTTAGAATTGATCATACGTAGAGTCTGTTCTTGCGTTTCGAATGAACTGAGAGACATAAACCGCATATGCAGGTGATAAGGGAGTATTTTTAAACAAGGGAAGTTGAAGTAATCATGTTTATCATAAAGCTTTGTTGTTAGATTAACATTAACATCCTTTTTCTAGTAAAATATCCAAATATGGAACAGATGTGTCGGACTCTATGGTATCTTTTATTTCAAGTTCACTGGGATATAAAAAAGTCGTCATATGAAAGTATATGGAAGTAACTATTCTTAATTGATAATTCGTCGTCGATATATCTATATCGAAATTTCGAGTTGAAGGCCACAGCAAGTGTTTTCTTCTTCTCATGTATAAGATTTTGGATATATTCTTCTTCATATGAATACAAAATTAGGTCTGCTAATAACGGAGCACAATTAGAACCAATGGGAATTCCAACAGATTGTTGGAAGACCTGAAGTAAATAAAGGTTATGGCTAACTGATAGAGATTGCGTGAAATGGTTGTGATATAACCATTAGGCATTTTATTCAGTTTTTAATCTAGTACATTATTTTTAAAATATAGTTCATTCTATTTACAAAATACATGTTCGCTATAAATATGTTTAACTAGATATGATTGAGATGGTGGACATCTCAAAGGGCCCCGCTTTCAGCAACGAACATGAAAATGTAAGGTAGCTGAAAAGGGTTTATTTTGAAGAGGAACATTTGTGTACTATTCATTAAAGTGATGTGTTGTTTGAGTCTGAAGGGCTTCTATGTCATCTTTTATAATAAAAAATGGTATGAAAATCACTAGTGCTCCATACCCTCTATCAAAAAACGGCACAAAAATCACGAATGTTGCAAATCCTCTATAAAAGTTGTTGCATATCCTCTATCAAAATATGGAAGGATTTGTCAATTGGTAAAGTTTGAGGCTGGCTGTACTTAAGGGAAAGAAATTATGCACCGAACAAAGATTTTAAACAGAGAGGCTATTTTTGACCTTGACCCCTGACCTAGAAACTTCGTTCAAGGTCACTGCACATCCAGTGACCAGTTGCACTCTGTGAGTGAAGTATGAGCTACATTGGACCAGAGGGAGAGAAGATATGCTCCGGACAAGGATTTTTCATATAATTCTGCTATGACCTTAACCTTAGACCTAGAAACATGGTCCAAGGTCACTGCATACCCTTTACCCAAAGGCACTCTGTGGGTGAAGTATGAGCCAGACTGGGTCAAGGAGAGAGAAGATATGCTCCGGACAAGAGATCTCGGACGGACAGGCAGACGGAAGGACAGACGGAAGGACGGATGGCTGGACAGACTGACTACTATAGGGCGCCCGCAGAGCGGGGCCCTAACTATTTTTACGGTACTGGAATTTTATGAACAAAACTTACCTGAAAAGTAAGACGAAACACACTGTTTAAACTTTGGGTCAAAAACTTGCGCATGCTGACATTTTTTGATCTCTATGGTCCTATTTCGGTCACATAAGATGTACCAGTATGTCCAAATTCTGTTTGGATAAGTTTGAGGTCCATCAGGAACTCCCACACAACTTGGAAGCCTCTCAGGACAGGGGACACAGTTTGAGTAATTGAGTCGGCATGCGTTTTGGTTGTATTCACCTAAAAAAAAACCAAAGGAATTCAAAGACTACAAATCTCATCTCAACATATATTATTAAAAAGAAAGGAAAATTCTGAGACATACCAAGTGAATGTTCTGGTAATCTACATCCATGCAAGTTTAGCATGGATAGGTATTACAGATATTTCACATGCTCAAAAAACTTCAACGATTCAATCTCGCTCTCTCTCTTTCACACACACACACACACACCCTCACACACACAGACATGTCGGTGAGATCCAGCACCCTTACCAAGCTCATCAAAGTGCCTCTTTCTGGATGCATTAATCATGCAAGTTTAATCACCAAAAAAAATTACAGAATCACCAAAGAGATTATAGTTACTGTAGAACGCCACCTTTTTTCAGTAAAGTAATATAGTATTTATAAGCAAAAATTTTTTTCATGAATTCTAGTTATTGATAAATGTAACCCTTACGTTTTACAAGAGGCCCATTGGCCATATTGCTCAGCTGAGCACTTTGGATAGGAAAAAGCTGAAATTAGTTCAGTTCTGAAAAGTTTGATATACAGGGGGAGGTGGGTAAATATTTGAACAAACATGAATCTACACTACAAAAGGATGCTTCTGAATTAATATGACTAATCATGGCTTTGATGTTCTTGAAAAGAAGATTCTTTTCTAGAAATTCCTATGTAAAACTGTATGTATGGTTATTGTGGCCCCATCAACAAATAAACAAATTTGAATATACTCTACTTGAGGATGCTTCGATATAAATATGATCAATCATGGCTTTACTGTTTTTTAAAAGATTTTAAATAATTTTTCCTGCATATTCCTATGTTTAACTTCGACCCCCCCCCCCCCATTGTGTCATGAATAATTGTGTGAATAATCATGACTTTGCTGTTCTTGAGTGAATTTAATATGTCCTATATATACCTGTTTAAATCTTTGATCGTCCATTGTGGCCCCTCCCTACCCCCGCGGTCATGATTTGAAAAAAAAAATTAATCTACATTATCTAAGGATGCCTCCATATAAATATTACCAATAATGGCTTTGCTGTTTCTTGAGAAGATTTCAACAGATTTGTCTTATGTATTCCTATGTAAAAATTTGATCACCCATTGTGTCCCCACTCTACCCCCGCGGGTTATTATTTGAAAAACCTTTAATGTACACTACCTGAGGATGCTTCCATATAAATATGCCTAATCAAGGCTTTGCTGTTGTTAAGAAGCAGATTATAAAGACTTTTCCTATGTACTCCTATGTAAAACTTTGATTGGCTATTGTAGCCCCACCAAACCTCCGGAGAGTCATGATTTGAACAAATTTGAATCTATACTACCCACCAAAGTCTCACATTTTTGACCCAGTGTTTCTGTTTTAGAAATGGTGCCACATTAATTTTTTACTAATTTGTAATTATCTCCCTTTGTAAGAGGGTATCCTTCATTTGAACTTGAATTCCCTTTACCCAAGGATACTTTGTGGCAAGTTTGGTAACTGTTGAAATTGGCTTGGTTATTCTTGAAAAGAAGTCGAAAATGTAAAAAGTTCGAGAACAGCAAAGTCATGATTATTCACACAATTATTCATGACACAATGGGGGAAAGACAGACTAACGCCGGACAAAATGTGATCAGAAAAGCTCATTTGAGCCTTCGGATCAGGTGAGCTAAAACATATGCGGGAATAAATTTAGCGCACAGACAGTCACGAGTAATTAAGTGAAAATTAAGTTCTCACAAATAAAAGGTGAGTTTTAATACTTTTGAATTGACATGCTCCAAATATTTAACCCTGGTCATTTATGCAGAAAATGAAGGTCATATCCAGCATTTCAAGCAAACTTTATAGTGGCCAGAGTTCTCACTAGCACAATAATCTGCATAATAGCAAAATTATTTGGGATGCGACTTTGTCAACAACTATGGATCCGCAGACTCTTTGGTGGATACATACTCAACAGTGAGAAAATTTGGATGTTTAAAAAAATCAGAGATTATTATAATGTTAGGAAAAAATAACTGATTAAAAAGTATCTGATAGACATCTTTTTTGATAAAGTTTTAAAATATTAACGTCATAAACTTTTTTATCGGAATTATTTTACGATTGTTAGTCGATGGTCCCATATTATTCTCTATTGAGAAGTTGATGGCTCGTTTTAATATTCCCCTGAAAGGGGGGGGGGGGGTATTAAACGAGCCATCAGCTTCTCAATAGAGTATAGATGCCACATGATTAATTCCAGTAGCTGTAAATTTATGCAGATATTGCTGATTGAGACACCGGATTACAATATTCGATGAGCCTTAGGGTGTGGTGAACATTGTACTTTGACTGAAAATAGTAATAACTATTTTATTATGATTCAATGAATTAATAATATGAACTGGTTAAGCAATTTAAAGCATTTTATGTTACTAGTTTACATTGGTTGAAGTCCTAGCCAAATACAACGAGAAAAATAGGAATAAAATAAATAAAGCCAGTTGTATTGATTTGGAATTTTAAAAACTTATTTAGGTTCATTGTAGAAAAAATATTGTCCGCCACATACGATTAATTTTGAAAGGGGGAAGTGACAACTTATTTTTTTTAAAAAAATCTTTGACTAGCACCCTTCCCTCTAAAAAAGAAGTGTAATCTCCTAACTCCAATTTTGTGGGGGAGGATTTTGGGTCCTTTAAAAGGAAGGGACAATGTCTTTTAATGAACACTTTTCATATTTAATTAAAAGCAAAAATTTAAATTCAGAAAAAAGGGTAGCGAGGGGACAGGCCCTCTGTATCCCCCATCCACCTCACGCTCAATTCAGTGCTCCTTAATGTTTTAATCAGGTGCAAGTAAAACAAGAGGCCCATGGGCCACAATGCTCACCCAACTGTTCTACTGTAAATTTCAAAAAAAAGATTTTTAAATTCCCATGATAATTGTAATCCCATATTAAACCCTAAGGCTCTCTGTATACACACAACATGAGGGTACCTCTATTATAACCGGTCTTGCAGTAACTGAGAAAAAAAAAATCTCAATACGTTATGTAAAATTTGATCCCTATTTTACCTTACTCTAACACAAAATTTGCAAAATTTGAAAAAAAAGGGATCTACTCAACTTGAGAACATTTGCATGTGTGTGTGAAATAACTGTGTTTTTAAAGAAGATATTTCAAAATTTAAATCCTAAAACCTCCCAGGTAAAAAATTGATCCCCTATCATGGCCCCACCCTATTTGCAGGGGCCATGTTTAGAAAAAATTAAATTTACAAAAGTTTCATCTCTCCTGTCTCAGTGGTTCTTGAGAAAAAGAATTTTAAAGAATTTTTCCACTGTATTTCAATGTAAATCTTTGATCCACTTTTGAGACCTAACCCGACTCCTGTGGGTAATTTTTTAAACAATAGGTTCAAGGGCCTAGAATCGCTCCTCTTATGAAATATGAAGATAACGAACAGTATTCAATCTCAAAAGTCCAATGAACATTACAAATTTGAAGCAGCGCAAATACGGACCTCAAAATGTAGAGGTGGGATCATGTGCCATGGAGGAGTGAGCATCCCCTGCCGACCGGTCACACCCGCCTTGTGCTCCTTGTCATGATCGGGTAATAACGGAGAAATCCGTAGACATTTCAGTGTATAAATAATGGCCTAACAATTAGTACGAAAAAACGTCAGTCAGCATTTGACACAATGATAGGTTGTGTGCAGACAAGGACATTGTATCGACCGTAATCTTTGCGAAAAGATGGCTTTAAACGAAACTGTTGATATCCTTGTTTCATCAACTTAAAGTTTTGCGGTCCAACAGACAGACAGACTAAAATGTCTTTAGGTTTCTATGCTTGCCTTATATCTTTCAGCCCTCTTAGTAAACAGGAGTACAAAATGCATTACATGTGCGATACGCATTCACACCATGTTTAGTAACGCGCATAACATATTATGATTAAAGAAATATATTTAGTATCCGTGTTTAATTATTTATGCTGATTTCATTTGAAACTCTGAAAAATTTTAATAATATTCTCATTAATCTAATTTTTGACTAGTGATACGGGATTCAGGTGTCATTTGTTATATTGAATCCTGTAATTTTTTGAACCCGATTCAAAATATTGCTGCCAAATACTGACACCTCCCACCATCCACCCCCGGATAGAGGAAAAATTGTTCATGTGACCCCTGCGCCGTGACTGTTAATCATTGTAGAATCGATCTCGTTGCCCATTCTTAGCACATTAAACATTACAATTTTTTAATGCAGAGTATTTATTGAAACAGTAGTTCAAATTTTTAATGATTTTTTTCTTTTTAATGAACATTTTTTAAAATTTACGGATGTCGAAAGGATAAAAGAGGCTCCGAGGTTTTCAATTAATTGAACTTAAGATACTGCAGATCATATAAAACATGAGCTATATAAGAAACATGTAGAGATGAATGTCCTGGCATACATAGATTAACAATCAAATGGCATGTTCAACGCAAGTGACGACAGTTTTTTTCAATTCCAGAAAGATTTTTGACTTCTACACATATTTATATTTGTTATAACATATGTTCGTGGATTATTGTGGAGTAATTTTAGCTACATGTTAAGCTTATTATTATTATTATGGTGTTTGTACTTTGTAGCAAGGATTTGCCAAATAATAATTTTTCTATGATTATACCAAAAAGAAGGGAAATGTTTTAGAGCGGAGCAGTGGCTCAAGCTCTATTCTTGTCGTGTAGGTCTTTATGTAGATATTTTCATTTTTACAGAGGAAAAGGTACTAGTACAGAAGATCCCATCCCTTCTAAGCTATATTATGCCTGCTTATCATTCCACTTGTTTATTCTATAGACACCCAACCCCACCCTACTTTCTTGTGTTCAAGATGCTTCAATCGCTTGTTTGCATTAGAACTTCACCAAGAAGTCCATGCTTTTTTGTGTGAAGTTTAGTTTTTAAAAATCCGAAAATGACAGGCTAAAAGGATACATGTAATTATGAAAGTAATTAAATTTAATTGGTCATCATTGAAGTCCAAAATACACGTGCTGTGGCGATATGCAGAAGTCGTTTGATTTTTTTCAATACACTTAAAGATATGGTCAAGACGAAAGATTGTGAAAGGTTTGATAAATACACAACATACAACACAGAGTTGACTAATAAGAATGTATTACGATCAGGTCACGTGGGAAATACTTCTGACAGGCAAGGCACTAACACGGACTTCGTATAACTACAGCTGGAAATTAAAAAAAAAGATTTAAAGAAAAAATAGTTGTGATTGGTAAAGTGAATAAAACGAAGAAAAATTAATAATATTTGGTACAGGTATAGGCAATCTGATAGGAAATACAGCGACTATCAGAATTTCCAAGCGTAACAAAGATCTGATTTTAATCAGATTGCAGGTATAGGCGAATGTGTGTGTGTGTGTGTGTGTGTTTTGAAGGGGGGTTTCTCTCTTTTTCTCTCTCTTTAATATAAGAATTAAACGTATGTCCATCCAAAAACATTGTAATTCAGATACTTACAAAAAAAGCCCAAGGGCCTTAACGGTCACCTGAGAATAATACAACAATAAATTGAGAGGATTATAGAGTATAAAATCAACTGATAGATAAAGCTTTGTTGCCCAAAAGCAAGAGAAGTAGGAAGATCAGGATCAACAAAATAATTGGTCTAATATTCAGTAACAACTCATAAATTAAGTTCTAATCTGTCCCCCTCTCATCATTATCACCATGCAGACTATTAACAAACTATTAGTGCTTCTGTACTATATCTAACGCCATAACATAACTTCTCACATTGACCTCTCTTGGTCTTTAAAGAACATTTAATAAGATATTTTTGTCTCATTTTTATTTATCTATTATTTACAGGTCTACCTGCATCATTAAAACTAAGAAAGTACTTTTTGTATTATAAAATAAAAACTCTAGCATAATTCTCTTATTCTATTAACCTTTCAAATACATTATTTACAGTGATTAATTATCAAAGGTGAACGGAAAAGGGAAATAACTTCTCTCGGTAGAAAAAAATAATAGAGCCCTTCCCAGAACCTGATTGCTTGACCAAATCAAAATCTGGTAAAAAAAAAAACCCTTGCTAATTGAAACTTTTACTCAGTTTGCCTCTGATATGCCCAGAAGCAGAGAAGAATTTCACATGTATAATGCATTTTCACTATAGATTCAACACAGCCCTACCGTAACACCAGAACACATACCCAGGGTCAAGAAATTTACAAATTTGGAAGAGTTACCCTCAGCATCATAACTGTGCACTTCAAAGAATTAACACATTTCCACTATATTATCAATAGCCCCCCCCCCCCGTAATGCCAGAACCCCTGACCCTGGGATGGGACCACAAGTTTTAAAATTTCTGTTAGAAGCACCCTTATTCATCATAACTGCAATTTGTTTATCTGCTCAACACTAAGGAGCAGACAGGATTAATTAACGCATTTTCATTATATTATCAATAGAGCCCCACCCTTACACGAGAACATCTGACACAGGGGTCAAGAAACTCAAAATTCTTAATGAAGCAATCTTGATAATCATAGTATACACTTAGTTTCTTTGCTTTATAACCAGAAGCAGAAAAGAACATTTTCAAAGATATTATGCATTTTCACTTAATAATCAATAGACCCCCCCCGCCCTTCCACCAGAGCCCCTGACCCTGGGGAAATATATTTCACAATTTTGGAAAAGACATCTTTGCCTATCATAATCATGCATTTAGTTTGTTAAAATTATCTCCAGGGGCAGAGAAGAAGATTTTCAAAGTATTAATGCATTTTCACTACATAATCAATAGAGACCCGTCCTAACACCAGAACCCATGACTCAGGGGCCATGAAATTCACAACTTTGGAAGAGGCATCCTTGCTCATCACAACTATGTACTCAGTTAGTTTGTTTAATACCCAGGAGCAGAGAAGATTTTCAAAGTATTAATGATTTTCACTATATAATCAATAGAGCCCCACCCTAACACCAGAACCCTGACCCAGGGGCCATGAAATTCATAATTTTGGAAGAGGCATCCTTACTCATCATAACTATGTACTCAGTTAGTTTGTTTAATACCCAGGAGCAGAGAAGAAGATTTTCAAAGTATTAATGCATTTTCTCTATATAATCAATAGAGCCCCACCCTAGGACCCAAACTTTCACTTCAAAGTGCCGAGCGCTTGGCGAAGGAACAGTTGCTACCCATTTTTTTTTTATCGACTTAGGTCAGTTGCGGCCGAGATTCGAACTCATGACCTCCCGATCACGGAGCGAGCGCTCTACCGACTGAGCTATCGTGAACGGTCTTTCGTTTTGAATAATGCCATATCCTTTATTGCATGTAAAATGTTTAAATATAAACAGAAATGTAGAATGTAGAAAAATAATGTTACAAATGAAGACATGTTGATTTCTTTGAAAAATGCTCTCATAAAATTTTAATAAGTGACCAAACGATCTCGAAGTATTACATGTAATTTTCATATTATGATATCTTTGGCATTACACTTGTAAGTATTGTTCCAGTTCTTTTTTCAAGTGTGCATATGTTTTTATATTCATAAATAAAAATGACGGACTTCTAATATGTAATCAGTCATGTGAATTTGATTTGTTTTACTTTCATCATTATCTAGCAATACATATTAAACTACATGTACTTTAAAATAATTCACAGTTGTTCAATATTTCTGCCTCGACCATTGAATACCTTAAGCCAAATGCTGACTGACGTTTTTCTCCCCCCACTAATTATTAGGCTGTTACTTACACACTGAATTGTCCAAAGATTTTTTCCGTTTGCCAATAAAGGTTTGATTACTATTCGTTATCTCCATATTTCATTAAAGACAGCGATTTTATTTAATCTAAATATGACATATGAAGATTACGCTCTTGATTTTCTGCTCAGGAAAGTTAATTAATCACAGGGTACTCACTGCTTCGTTCATAGTTTACAACAGTAATACTTTCAGCAGTTATCTTTCTTCGCCCAATCATTATTATACACAGTAAGGAAAATTCTTTAATGATTTTATCATTATTGATCAATTTTTATTCAAAACAGTTAAATATAATCTTTGGTGATTGAAATTCCCAACTTTTTCACATAATTATTTGAAAAACTGTCTGTCCGGAAGTTATTTTTTCAATACGATACATTCTTGAATATCGATACGTATCGATATATTGATACAGCCCTAGAAGAATGATAGACAGATGGACACAAAGACAGACAGATAGATAACTATAGGAAACTATAGGAAACTGGAAAACATTTGAGGGTCCCTAATGACGACTGCTACAGGTTGCCAAATATAATTCCAGTAAAATAAATACTTTTTTGAGACTTACACGGAGACATTGGTTCTTTCTTTCCAATACACTGGACTGTATGGAATGCCTGACATTTCATTGTTTGGCTGGAGAAAAGTTGTGGGTAAGGACATTCTTGAACTTCAAGTAACTGTGTTTTTGATGACTGTAACTGTTTGCAGTTAAAGTAATGTGCACAATTATTAGGGTGTGGCATGAGGGCCTGAGGATGAATTCCACAAAACTCCACAATGTTATCTAAATAAAAAAAGTCTTTCTAAGAAATATAGTATTTCATAATAACCAAATGCATAAATATCACTCTTTTAAGAATGCATAATATATATCATTTTTAAATGAAGTGGATATCATAATTGAACTCACAGAGTGGTATCCACTTGACACAGATATGTTGGTATGGATCAAAATATCCCTCTGAACACTTTGTTATTTCCACTGTTCGGTTATGATAGCAAACAATGTAGTCAGACATCCACCTTTTTCCTGAAAATTCATGTCTTCCATCAGACAACCCTAAGCATGATGGGAGTCTTTCATGACAAGGAGTGTTGTGTTTTGGTACAGCCAAGGAAGACTCTCTGTTTATAATATATTCACCTATAAACAGAAAATCTGTTTTAGAGATACAACCTATCAGTATGACACCTGAGTCATCTCAGTCCAGCTGCTCTTCAGAGGAACATTTTTCAAAGATCTTTTTAAGGTCTTTCGTCTTCACGGAAGACCTTATAGTGATTCCACTGTTTCTTATTAAGATCTTTCGTCTTCACGGAAGACCTTATAGTGATTCTACTGTTTCTTATTATTACTCTTTTTTTGACCAAATTTTGTTCACATGATTTCTCGAAAACTATTTAGCAGTTTTCAATGAAACTTTAAAAAAAAGTGAGCCATCAAATGAACTTTGTTCATCACAAAAATTCACTTCCGGTTCCATGTTACAGGCAATTTCCTGATTTTTAAATGGATTTTTTTTTCCGCGGCAGATCTAAAGAACGGCTAAAGATATGAAATGGAGACATATTAGAGATGATAGAACATGACTTTTTGTGCATCGTCAATAGTTTCAGTCGCTACCGGAAGCGAATTAAAAAAGTCAAATTTTTCAACTTTTTTTTCTCTCAATATTTATAATAATTTTACTGGTGATAATAGAGACTCTTATAAGAAATGGTCCCACTAGCGTAATGGTTAGCGTGTTCAATTTTCACGCGGGCGACCTGGACTCAATTGCAATCCCCAGAATGTCTGAATATTTTGGTACCTTTTTTCAGCTGAAATATAATACTGTATCTATGAAATGATATCTGGTATAATTTTCCGTCGATAAATTTTACAATTTACGTTTTATTGTATTTCATGTATGAACGAGTTAAAAGGAGTGCACAACGTAATACAGATACTGTTATGAGTGAGGAATCAACTTCTCTCATGACGGAAAAGGGACGAAAGACCTTCTTGTTGCATGACTCTACTGTTTCTTATTAAGGTCTTTCGTCTTCACGGAACACCTTATAGTGATTCTACTGTTTCTTATTATTAATAAGGTCTTCCGTCTTCACGGAAGACCTAATAGTGATTCTACTGTTTCTTATTAAGGTCTTTCGTCTTCACGGAAGACCTTATAGTGATTCTACTGTTTTTTATTTTTATTATTATTTTTCATTTTTATTTTTTTGACCTTTTCAAATCGCAATATCTCAAAACTACTCAATGATTTTCAGCCAAATTTTCAGGAATGATGTGTTATCTCATACCATTTGAAATATTGAAGAATTTTGGAAAAATTACTTCCGGTCAGGAGTTATTACATTACGATTTTTCACTTTTTCCACTAAAAATCTAGTCCGTAAATGTTCTCGGAAACTGTTAAAGGTAAGAGCCTGAAATTCTCAGGTATGGTAGAATGTGATTTGTAGATGTGTGATGGAAACATTTCGTGTGTCGTCGTTACTTCCGGTCGTCACAGGAAGTGATTTAAAAAGGGTAATTTCTTGAACATTTTTGTTTTTCATTATTTTTTTTAATGATATTTATAGGTTAAAAAGAGAGTCTTATCAAAATGCTAAATATGAAATTTATTTAAAAATTGATTAACCCGTACTCTAGATATTTATTACCTGCTACTTTGATGCGATGGTCCTTGATAGAGTAATGGTTAGCGTGTTGAATTTTCACGCTGGCGACTCGTATTCAATCCCCAGAATGTCCGAATTTTTTCACACTGTTGTTTGGGCTCAAATGTAATATTTTATCTTTTAAGAGGGGGGGGGGGGATATGTCGTTCAACGTCAGATAAATGGTGTTTGATTCACAATGGCACTGTGTCTTTTTACTCCTTCATAAAGAGTTTGCAGTTGAAATTTGCACTAATTAATGTGCATATGTGTGTGATATGATAAAATAAGGTAAATGTAGCTAGGTACCTATGCAATTGAATCATAAATTAGAGATTTTGAAAGTAGAATTTATTATTTTCTCATCTTGATTGAATAACAAATAGCAATTTCAGATGAGAGAGAAAAACTTCAATGACATTTAGTTTAGAGCAAGATCCGTCATAATTAAGAGCTCAGTGTGACTTAGTGCATAAAGGTATGGTTAATTAATGGTATACAGTGTATTAACACAATAAAACACATAAAAATCTATATACTCGAAACAGTATGTGAAAGAATGTGCTTTCACATAATACATCAGTAAAGTGTCAATCATTTTGTTATCGGTGTAGATAGGATTAAATAAAAAAAATCTTTTTTATCATAATTTTATATTTTGTACAATTACTGTTAGTGTGAGAATCTCAAAGTTTAAAAAAATACACACAAAGATGTTTTGGAACATAGATCCTCCCCTCCTTAAAATAATGTCTCGTATTTTTTCCGTTCCAGTTTTGCAATATTTTCAAATAAAAACGTTTAATTATATTTTATGTATGATTGATTGTATGTTGTTTTACGTCCCATTCGAGAATTTTTCACTCTTATAGACACGTGACCAAATAACGGTGAAGGGCTTCAAATTTAGACCTTTACTCGGCACTCAGGGTTATTGTGCAGTGAGGGATCTTTATCGTACCAACGCCTGGCGTGACACGGGGCCTCGGTTTTTAAGGTCTCATCCAAAAGACCCGCAATTTTCACTTCAAAGTGCCGAGCGCATGGCAGAGTTACTATTTTTTGTATGAAGGTGTTAATGCACAACATAATATGTTGTTTAGTGAGGAATCAACTTCTCTAAAGACACAGAAGGGACGGAAGACCTTCTTGTTGCCATGGCAACAAGGTTTCTAGTTATTATTCTTATTTTTAGACACATTTTGTTCAAGCAATATCTCGAGAACTATTCAGTGGTTTTTCGTCAACTTTTCAGGGATAATCTTTGAAGGACTATCTTTTAAAATTTAATATTTTTAAATGATTACTTTCATCTGTAAAAAAGGAATGTGGTATTAAAAATTATTTTTACGATGTCTTTGAAAGAAATGATAAAAAAATTAAATTAGAACGAATAATTTCATGAACGAGTTAGCAAATGCTGAACGTATTTAATCTCACAATTTTCACACAGATAAGCTTCCGTAAGAAATTTATATCGTAGAAATATTTCATCACTCTTTTTCAGCTTTTTGCAGCGATACATATTGTAGTTTTGAGCATACATACACTTAATAGACTAGAATTTGTGAAAATATTTTTGCACTTAATCTTTTATTTAAAGCAAACACGAGAATAGAGTGTAAACGAGTGAAAATTCCCGTATACAGTAATGTTTTTTATTACTGAAAAGAGGAATAATCCCGTTTTATGGTAATACTTCCCCGAAAAAGGAACTGTGCCGAACCTGTTAAATGGAATATTGTCCGCGGCAAACCTAAAGAACGACTAAAGGTATGAACTGGAGAATTATAAGAGATTATAGAACATGTCTTCTAGATTACCAGAATTGCCTTTTCGTGCATCGTCACTACTTCCGCTCGGAAGCGAATCTAAAAAGTGGAAGTTTTCAACTTTTTTGTTTTTTCAATATTTTTCGATGATATTAGTAGGGTTAATCGAAACTCTTTTCAGAATGCATAATATATAATTCGTTTGAAAATTGATAATAAATATTATAATTACTATTAATATTTTTTCAAATTTAGACCTATATTCGGCACTGAGGGCCATTGAACAGTGAGGGATCTTTATCGTGCCAACGCCTGCCGTGACACGGGACCTTGGATTTTAAGGTCTCATCCGAAGGACCCGCAACTTTCACTTCAAAGTGTGCCGAGCGCATGGCAAAGGAACAGTTGCTACCCATTTTTTTATCGACTTAGGTCAGTGGCGGCCGAGATTCGAACTCATGACCTCCCAATCACGGAGCGAGCGCTCTACCTACTGAGCTTCCGAGAACGGTACTTAAAAAAGAAGAGAGAGGACCCAAAACCAATTTAGCTAGCCTGACCAAAATGAAGACAATGGATATAATAGCATTAATAGGTAAACCTTGTGCCAGGGGCTGGCTAACATCCTGGATCCCATATTTAGACCTTAATCTTTTTACAGTGGAGGGATCTGCGAAGGACCCTTGACTATCAAAAGGAATTGAGTTTACAAGACAGGAAACCTATTTAGCTAGGCCGGACAAAATTGGGAAGAACGCGTATAATAATACTCTTATTAGAGTACATAGTTCCAGGGGCTTGCTAACATCATTGATCCTATATTTAGACCTTCATCTTTTTATAGAAAATGGGACTGGGAAGGACCCCTTGACTATCAAAAGGAATTGAGTTTACAAGAGCGGGAACCTATTTAGCTAGCCCGGACAAAATTTGGGAAGAACGCGCATAATACTGTTATAAGAGTACATAGTTCCAGGGGCTGACTTACATGCTGGATCCCATATTTAGATCTTCATCTTTTCAAAGGAGAGAGGTCTGGGAGGGAACCCGTGACTGTCAAAAGGAATTGAGTTTATAAGACCGGGAACCTATTTAGCCAACCCGGTCAAAATTGGGAAGAACGCGTATAATACTGTTATAAGAGTACATTGTTCCAAGAGTTGGTTAAAGTGGAATATCAATACAGAGACAAGAGGTCATATCCATCTAATTTGGTACAGTCGAACCTTGTTATCTCAAATTTGACGGAACAAAAATTAAAAAAAGAAAAGAAAACATTGAAATATACCTTAAAAATCAGAAACTTCCAAAAAAAAAAAAAATAGATGTAAAGCAAGTTCATTTAGCATTTATTTTCACCATAATCAGAACTGAGTCAGGCTTAATGCTTAATTTACAATATAATTTGATAGGTAACTGCAAATAATAGAAATGGTCAGATACACATTATAATCACTTCACAGTTAACATCTCACAAACTGACCAATTACCCCTCGACGCCAATCCGGAGAGCCCTTTTTTATTTAAATACCCACATATTTTTAATTTTTTCGACTAGCCGATTACCCTCGTTCCGACCGAGTTACTGGTTTACGGCAGGTTACAAATTGCTATTCCTAATTCATAGGATCGTGGTCAACTTCTAACTCTGTGGGAAAAAAATTATTGTACCATATATAGCTTTTCAGATTTGCCCCTTACTTTTTAG